CTGCCGGGTTCCAATCCAGTGCTTACTTGCAGATTTTGTTTCCGCTCTTCGTAATGTGTGTGGCCGACCTACCTCCACTTACGTGGAATGTCGAATTTATGTTGATATCGGCTTCTGATTAAATTGACGATGGACCTCAGCATTCGAGATCCAGTTGTGAGGATATGCCACAGGCATCAGTTGATGAGACCTGCAGCTTTTGATTGTTCTCCGCTGGTACACACCACATCTCACTGGCGTATAACAACAGAGTTTTCACGTTTGAATTTAAAATTCTTGATTCGTGCACCTACGTCGGTATTGGTCTCGCCGTCTGCCAAGATATTGTAAACTTTAGACTTTCTTCACTGCTACCGTATAGTTAGAAGGGTTGTCCGTGTTGACATCCAACGATTTGTTATTGTTTACGTTGAAGGTGAGGCCCACCGCAGGCAGAGATACGTTGGGCTACACCCAACCGGGGGAAGTAAGATTCGCTTACAATTATGTGTGATTCATCATCAGAGGATGTTAGTGGAGACCGCATGAACCGAGGATGCGATATACCTAGCTGCGGTCCGATGTAAGAAAATTGGAGACCGAAAAATGTGGAGTGTATTAGTGAGTGAAATTAATTATGTCGAAAAAAATAGAAAAAAGGTTGAAGACTGGACTCGAACCACGGACGTTGCGACTATCAGACCTGTGCTTTCTCCACTGCTCTCTCCATGCTTCTGAATATAGATAGCCTAAAAGCAAAGATGAAGCGCTTATTTTCTCGCATGCTCGACTTCGTATGCTTTTTCTGCTGGAGAGATTCGAGACAAGTGTGTGCGTCGTTCTACAATGTTCTACAATGTGCGTCGTTCTACAAGCTTACTGGTATAGTCGAAAGCGTAGATGGAACACGAAATAAAAAAAGACAAAAAACCATTACATCGCCTGCATGGTCAATTTCTAACATTCGTTGCGATGTTCATGAACAGAGGATGATAGGAAACAGAACTAACATTCATTGTAATAGATTTTTGGTTTGCGTGTAGGTCGTTGAGCTTACTCTGTATATCAGAGCGTCGTTGGGTTAATAGCGCAACATCATCTGCCAAATCGAAGTCGGTGAGGTGCTCCATAGGGTGAGGGCTGCCAAAGTAGCCCACGGTTCGGTATATGGTCAATTGCACCTGCCATGATCTCGTCGATTACGATGGGGAACAGTGGCGGTGATAGTATACATCCTTGCCTCACTCCTGCTACCCGGATAGGGTCGGACAATGCTCTACATGTGAAAGCCTCGTACTGCACTTCGTTTAGGTTGGCGATTTTATCCGGGACTCCTTTACGTCTCAGGGCGTCCCACAGATTGTGAGGATTGAGTCGATCGAAAGCTTTTTCGTAGTCATTGAATACCATATAGAGAGACTCTTGGAATTCATTGACCTGAGTGTGACAATATGGGCCACACAAGATCTTCCGGCACGGTGGATGGGCCACACAAGATCTGCCTGTTGCCGCCGGAGAATCGCGTCAATCTTCGCCTTTATTCGATGTATGATAACTTTGCACAGAACTTTTAAAACAATACACAGTAACATGATGTCTTGCCAGTTGTGGCACACATGCAAATCCCCCTTCTTAGGGACCTTCACTAAGACGCCCTGTATCCAATCGCAGTGTCACAGATATTACAGAATAGTTAATGCAACATTTATGCGGTTAGCATTGGGTCAACTTTGAGCATCTCTACTGATATGCGATCGACCTCGGAAGCCTTGGTGGATTTCATACTTCGGCTAGCTGCTTCAATCTCCTGCAGTGATAGGGACTCGGCTGATCATGTCGAGATGTTTATGGCTGGCTGGACATCGAAACTAGAAGAAGTTGTTCGAAATGCTCAAACCAACGTTTCAGCTGATCAGTGGAGTCGGTAAGTCATCCTTACTCATGAGATATCGTAGAGAAGGCGGATATCGCCAGTTGTTGCGACTTTCTCCCCTTCGTTAGCCAGGGAGTCTACCAACCCACACTTGTCCCACCTGCAAGAGCGATTGACTTCCTTCTCTAGAGTTGAATACCGTTGACGGCCTTCATTCTTGGCTCCTCTGGCTCTCGCCTGCTCTATCGCGGTTTTTGCCTCTCTATGCCACCAGGTGTCATCAGTGATCCACTCTTTTCACTGAGTGCGCAGCTCACCCAGGTTGTTCTCACTTGTCAGGCAAAGGCATTCTTGATGGCCGTTCACTGTTCTTCTACGCTGCCACCTTCCGGAGCACCCGATGCTCGGGTCTCATGTTCTTCAACGAACAATGTTTTCGCAACTTGATCTTCTAGTCGACGTGTGTTGAATCGGCGTCCGAGCCTTTCCTCCCTCCGCTAGATTCGTGAAATGCGTAGGTGGATCCACCAGAAGGTGATGGTCAGACGCGATGTCGGGGCTGCGCTTGTTTCGGACGTCTAGAAGGCTCCGTCTCCATTTTCGGCTGACACAGATGTGGTCGACTTAATTTTTGGTATATCCATGACGGGAAACCCACGTGACTTTGTTTGCTGGTCGATGGGGAAAGAGCAGGATCACCACAAAATTCTGCGAACAGCTCACCGTTTTCGGTCATTTCTCCTAGACCATGGTGTCCCATGACATGCTCATAGTCCGTGTTGTCATAACCGATCTTCGCATTGAAGTCACTAATGTAGATCTTGAAGTCACCCTTTGGGACTTCATCCACGACGGCATTCAGTTTACTGTAAAATTTCTCTTTGTCCTGTAGCTCGGCAGCATCAGTTGGCACATAACATTATGGCAAGGTTTCGATTATGAAAATGACCTATGAACGGGAGATTATTCATTTCCAATCATGATTAAGTATGTCAACACTCATTGTGGCACCAAAAACGCAATGACTGAGTTCAAATAATCATTGAACATATTTTTTGCAAAATTATGAAGAGATCTAACTGGCAGAAGTAATAAACCATTCGAATTTAATGGACATGGATACGCAGAAACTAGCCCGTCAAACGCCTAAATGTATGTATCTCATTCGTGATCATAGATGATAAATAGGGTGGGTCAATCTCTAATCAATCAATTTTGGACCTACTAAGCACAACCCGTCCTTTGCCTCTATTTTTCGAGTGGGTTGCGAAAATCCTGAATCAACATTCTTACAGACCCCCTTGACTCTTGGAATTTGTAGAGACAGATAACAGCGCGACAGATATGATATCGTCCTCTTCCCTCGGCTGATCTTCAACGTCCGCGTGACATCTGTCATGCTGACACCTGTCAATTATTGAGCCCTGGTGGTAAAGTTTGCGGGGAACTCCCAACAGTTTCAATGTGTACTCAACAGATAACATTGCCATCACATAAGGGTGGTAACTATATGCCTTGTATGAGGAATTGATTAGCGGGATATCTTGTTAATTAGATATCTTTGAGTCCATGCATTGTGTTAGCGCAGCACTTTTAATTTTTTGTAGATGGACTGAGTTCAATGCACTTTTTCCTCCACCAACTCGATTGCAAGTGTCAGACAGTTTACAGCTTGTTGATCTCAGGAAGCTGAAGGACCCGTAAGAGGTATGATCTTCTTCATCGTCACCATCATTATCTACCGCTTTTCCATCTTCACTGTGTAATCCGTCACTGCATCTGTGTAATCATCTACACGTAGTTCTTCCTCGCGACAGTCAATCGTTTCATTGTTTGGATTCTCGTTTTATGGTATTTCGAAAAGGTTATTCAACGGGTATTGTCTTCATGCATTAGTGCAGATCCAACTATCATTCCAATGTTTTTCCACGCTTTCTGAAGGACAATTTGGGACACCTCCATCCATGCCTCTTGATGCCAAAACGTGATATGATTGAGATTTATTTGTTTTAGACCCTGAACTGTATCGTGGTTTCCAAAAACGATCTCATTAAGGTGTTTCTCTCTTCATACTTCATCTTAATGTTCAAGTATATCAATAATTTCGACGTGAAGCAATCAATCATACGTTTGGTACGATAGTTTAGTTCAAAAGCTACAAAACAAAGTCGCATAATATGAATATTTACATCTATTATTCTCAAAAACAAAAGAAGCGATCCTAGCGAATCCATTTTGGATTTAACAATCACCCCTATTCTGTATTTCGTTTCGAACGAAATTCTCATACAAAAAAATATTTTTTTGAATGAGAATTTCGTTCGAAACGAAATACAGAATAGGGGTGAATATCTCAGCAATGTGCAACTATTTATCAAATCCAACGGTACGTATGGAAAGTTGAATAAATTTAGAAGTAATCTTCGATTTTTTGTTCAAACCCTTTAAAAAAAAAAGAGAGTTAAAGCGCAGGTTGTGCTTAGTAGGACGGAAATTAAATCTTAAGGTTCAATTTACTTTGATGCATTTTTTAAAAATTCAAAAGCAGTTTTTTTCGTGTAAAATATCAAAAGGAATCGAATAGTGCGAGCTTTTTGCAATCTGAAATAATGCGTCGGAAAAAACTGCTTTTGAAATTTTTCAAAAAGCATCAAAGTAAATTGAACCTTAATGCTACATTAAACTATTTCTAAACCGTCCCGCTAACATTATGCAAAGTAATTAGTCCTGTCCAGAAAGTGAGCCAATCAATCTCAATTCGTAAATCTACATACTTTTGTTATTTCTCCTATTTTGCTCCATCCTATCACGCATGCATAACTGAAGTTGAATGTAATGTCAAATATGTAATTCATATTTTTACTACCTTAATTATGTCATTTATAACAATTCTATTCAGTTCAGTTCCTCATTCAGCTTTGACATGAACATGCCTAAACTCACTAACCACCATCATGGTAGCATTCTCCATTGTCCCTTTTTTTGCTACTCTCTATACTGCAATAGAAAGGGGCGGAGTTATGCTACAGACATGGTCCTTGCGCACAAGCCATGACGCATGTAGGGACAAATTTTCCCTCATTAAATTAAATTGATCTGTTATAAAAGCGACACGCATCACATCTAGGGCAATCATTTAATTCGAATACTTCCGGTCGTCAGCAGTCCGCCTTGGATCCGTAACTGAAGAAGGGTTAAAGATCCTGTGAGCACTACCACTCGGTAGGAGTTGTGAATCAATAGAATGGATAAAATTTGCCGCAGCCAATTGCCGGATTCGTCGTCATCTCCTCCGCTAAGGTGCCCGTAGAAGCTAATAGTAAAACTTGATGTGATGATTTAATGTGAAATAGTGCATGTCCGGAACGGAACAAAAACGACATACCTTAGTGAATGCCAATCAAATTACCACGAGTGCTAAAAGTAGCGTGATTTGCAATTAATTATTCAATCTATTTCTCACTATCCCGCTGAATTTCAATTCACTATGATGATGGATACCATTGGTATGACGTGCAGTGGGCTAAATTTCCATAGCTTCGACGAGGATCTAATCTCGGATTTGCCATCGTGTGTTTATGCTAATCATCAGCTGGGAGCAGCAACGGCGACAAATGTCAATTCCGCGAATCTAAGGCTGAACAGCAACAGTCTGAGACAGATCCAGCACCAGTATTTGCATCACACAGGTTAGTCTAAAAGTGACAACTTTAATGCATCGGATTCACATTAGAGAAAAGGAGGGGGGCTAGTCCAGCCTCGCTCTCATATGGGTTCAAAAAAAAAATCATTACACGCAAAACAAATGTCTCTTACATCCAATGTAAGGTTGGATTTATTACATCCTCTGCATATTTTTCATACAACAAATGTAATGGCAGTTCTTGCAATGGACTGCAGCGTGCAAGTATTTCCATAATGCATAATTCTGTATAAAGCCTTCACGAGATGATTTTTTAGACGCAATGCATTTGGGAAAACAAGCTTGCAAATCTTTTCGTGTCACGAAACATTAAAAATTCTGCATTACATCCTACATTTCCCGGTTGGGTGCATTTAGCTTCCGAGCATGAAATTATCTAACCTTGAAACAAAATCATCAATATCTATATGCTTTTAAATTATCTGGGATAAAGCATGGCCAACTTAGTAATGGAACAACATCATTTGGGTCTATTTCGGATTTGAAAATGGTTTTCACTCAAGTGCATATTTTAAGAAAAAAAAATACGAAATGAATTATAAGTTTCGAAGGAATTTACGAAATTTTCCTTTGATATGACCCATCAAGCGGCACACAACGATCTCGTCCACTTTTTTTCACGATTTTATCCCACCAATTTTTCATCTGAGCTGCCGTTTTGATGGCTCTACATGTTACCTTCAGTTTCCTCTTCATCATTGTAGTTTTCATTGGGCCTGAACTGGGGACAATTGGGCGGATTGAGGGTTTTCGGAACAAACTGAACTCCGTTGTCATTGTACCATTGCACAGTGGTCCAGAATGCAGATTTAGGTGGAATGATATGTTTTGAGCCTGAAATTGAAACTTTAGACTAAAAGTTTCTTCTACAAAGTTGTTACTTATAGTTAGGCCCTCATTTGTATGACAAGGAATTCTAGGGTGGTTCTTATTATCATTAAAATAAAAAATCTAACTTTTTTGTTTGAATAAATTAAGGTATACATTCTTGGACAAAGTTATAACTGAGCTAATTTCAAGCAACTTCACATAAAAAAAACTTTTTTGTGCGTCTTAAATAGACCGATGATAGCTATTTTCTTGAATGGAGTTAGGGTGTCTCTAAAAAAACAATTGTTTTGCTCTAGTTTTCTTATTTCAAATTTCTTAGCAAAGATGTCTTCAAATAACTTTTAGATCTTTAGAAGGCGCAAATTTTTGCTGCACAAAGTTTATCGATATCTTTTTTCGATCAAGAGTTATTGACGTTTTTCTTCTAAAAATATGCCCTTTTCAAATGTTAATATCTCTGGTTGGGGCAAACAAAAAAAGTTCATTTACGGCATTTGAAGGAGCACTGAAAATGTATTTTCGTTATTTCTCTGAAAACTGTTTCGTAAAAATGAATATCGTACATACAACACATCTTTCATAAATGGTACGAAACATTCGTTTTCCCTGTCATCTGGCGCAATGTCAATATTACACCTTATTCGCATAATATACAAATTCATCTTCGTACAATCAAACCAACAACTGCGCTTATTGTCTCCTAAAGTTTTGATTGTGTGTTGGAGATGGGATACTTTTTTTTAATATTGTCGGTTTGACCAATACATGCAAGCTACCATTATAAATCAAAATACTGGTCACGGTGGTTTTCTGTCAGAGGAAAACTAAATACATGCAAGCAGCAGAAAAAGCAAACGAAATGGAATTAATGAGTACTTGTTATTTGACTTTAGCCTTTCCTTTTCTCGTAGCACAGATAGAGTGATGGATAAGTCACAGATCTGGCTTTCGCAAGGTTCATGATTCGAGTCCGGTCTGAAGCCTATGTTTATCCCTTACAATAATGAAGTTATTTTTACGCATCCTCACTAACACACTCCACATTTTTCGGTCTCCACAACCATCACTTGTGGCCCGCTGGTTGTTGGGTGTGGCGATAGCGAATGTGGCAGTTCTAACGAAACTAGCTTCATACAAATATACAAATCCATTTCGTTGCAGAAAACAACGAATAAATTCGTAAAACAAACGAGCGACTTCGTTGTATAAACGAAATTTTATTTTCAGTGAGCGTATGTTATTCTCAATAGTGTGAAAAAATGGAGGTATGTTATTTTTTAAACTTGTATAAAATCAATTTGAATGTATTCATATTTTGTACTATATTTGGGTAAATCTTTTTTATTAGAAGAGATAAATAAGTTTGCGTAGGAAAAGTATAAATCGTCAATCAAGTCAGGCCTATGATAACCATAATAAAATGTGTTAGGTTATTTTGTTTAACGACGTGTTCAGGGTATCATCCAAAACATTTCTGGAATATTTCCATCCATTCCATTTTGTTCATAAATATAGTATCCTCGTTCATATCCGCAACAATTTCAAAACCAGGAACTGCACCCGAAGCTGCTAAGAATTTTCCGCTATCCGATGCCACGAATAAATCTAAATTGTAATTGAAATTTAAATGTAGCTGAAATTTAATAAATTAGTTTGAAATCGACTTTCATCTAAACGACAATTCAATTATCAATATGGTCACCATGTTATGGTAGATTAATGCTACATAATCGAGAGTTTTTCGTCACGCTTTGACGAAGAGGAAACCGACAGAATTGAAACCACTTTTCTCTGAGGACGCTGGGGGTTATTCCGAGAGTCGAAGTGACTTTTGTCACTAGTGAAGTGAGAAAAACCACGTTGCACAGTAGGGTATTTATTAATTCTAGCTGGTTAAAAATATTTAACCACTCTAGCTTGTCACATACATCTTATGATTCAAGGATAATAAAATTGTTTGGTCAAAAAAGGGCGGAGTCATGTTTTGGAGAGGGGGAGGGTCATGTTATAATGATGCGGCCATTTGTGGATTCCATCAACTTTCACCTTAAGAAAATAATAATATTACACCGAGCATTACACAGCAACAACATTTAAAAAAAAAAAAAACAAAACAATACGTAAAAACAAAACAGCAAGTAAAAAAAATAAATGAAATTAAACGAAAAAAAAACCTCATTCCGAATTTGAGAAGACATTTTCTTGATCACTAGAAACGTCTGTTTCATATGTTTCTTCCATCTCTAATTTTTCCAGCAGATCTTCGCTTTCTTGTATGAAGTCCTCTGGGAGTAACATTTGCAATGTTTTTGTCGTCAAACCCTTTACTTTTTTCGCGGGATTTTTATTAATCCTAAAAGAATATTTATTTACTTTCACGTATGATAATCATTACGTTGTTTACCCGTGATTACAGGATCAGAACTAAGCAGCAGTCTATTCAGTACATCCATGTTGTATAGCTTCTTCTGACAACTGCCCTATTGGTACCGGTGCATGTTCTATAACTGTGGATTAAAATTTTATGCAGAATTGGAGTCATCGGATACCATGGATACAGTCGAACGTATATCCATAGAGGTAACTCTAAGACAACTGCCCTATTGGTAGCAGTAGATGTTCTATAACTGTGGATTAAAATTTTATACAGTCGAACGTAAATCCACAAACGAAGTGACAGATGACTAACTGGCGAAGAAATCAATTAAAATAATGTGGTTCGCTGTAATAGAATTTTCTTAGAAGCTTGTGCCATCAGCCACCAGATGGCCTAGTATTTTTGTTTTGATTTGAACATAGTTGATTTTGTGTGCAATATGATCTTTTACAGTGTTCAAAGAGTGTATCATTTTGTCATTTTTTTATGCATTTCAGTTTAGAGGAGAGTGAAAGAGATAGAAACCAAAACATTCTAGTACATTTAGTGTTGCCATGTGGTACAATCAACAATCAATACGAAACTAACGATTTTAAATTGGCTCACCACTTTAGTAGCCTATTGGTCCCAAGCAAACGATTAACGTACCCTATTCTAGTCGAAATTCTAGTACTACGCAATGTTTGTTTTGATTAGCTATGAAAGTTTGACAGATAAAATGAGGGGTTATTGGTTTTACCTATGTTTCGAGGGGTGATTCGACAAGCTTGGGACCGAAGATAGTACCAGAGGTGAGCCAAAAAGTTGAGCACGTTTCTTCGGGACCTACTTGTCTTAGAGTTACCTCTATGGTACAATCGATTAGTAGTGTTGCCATGTGGTACAAGCCAGTAGTAGTGGTGTTGCCATGTGGTACACTGAAAAATTGCAATAGCAGGTGCGTCACCGAAGTTTTCGAGCCGCTCCGTCTGTCACTTCGTTTGTGGTATATCCATAGAGGTAACTCTAAGAAACGTGCTCAACGTTTTGGCTCAGCTCTGGTACTATCTTCGGTCCCAAGCTAATCGATTCACCCCTCGAAACATAGAAAAATCCACTAACCCCTCATTTTATATGTCAAACTTTCATAGCTAATCAAAACATACATTGTGTAGTACTAGAATTTCGATTACAATGGGGTACGTTAATCGATTTGCTTGGGGCCAATAGGCTAGTCAAGTAGTGAGCCAATTTTAAATCGATAATTTCGTATTGATTGTTGGTATATCTTCGTTGTTTCTTGAGTAAATGTTTTAAACTTTTCCGTATCAATTTTAAAACCACTAGCTAGTGTCTCCAATATAACTTTAAGCCAGTAGATCAAATTAAACACCTGTTTGAGCAGTGGTTTCCGAATCAGCAAAGAATCTTAGACTAGTGTTACCATCCGAATTTTCAAAGCCTGATTTTAGAAAATCCACAAGGAGTCACAATTTATTTCTGCATTTTTCTTGACTGGGTTCTTTTCTTTCTTTGACGATTTGCTTATCATTGCCAGTTAACCGCCATTTTTGATCGGCAACTTGTAAGAAAGATGTAAAATTGAATCGTAAAAATACGAATCCTGGAAAAATGGATAATCCGAATTTAAGAGAATGTGTGTTGATTTCCTTTTTACACCAAGACTATTGAATTCCTTTGAACTTGCGCCACATACATAACATTTAATCGTTGATGTGGTTTCAGCTGCTGCATTACACACTTTCCCATCAACCATAGTGAGCATAAAAGTATGTCTA